CTCAAGCTTGAAGGGAGTGTCTAACTCTCAGGACGAGGGCCAGGCCTGGCTGGCCTTAGGTTTGCCAAGTGCCGCCTCTGGCTTCCTTTTGCTCTGTTGACTTCATTCTTAGGCTGTCCCTACACAGGGGAAGAAGTGGCCCTCTGCAGCTCTAGGTTTGCTCCTCCTGTCCGATGAGCAGTCCCAGCCAGATGGCTTTGGACACGCCCTGACTCGGAGTCATTTGTGACTTCCTGAGTGAACATCTGTTGCCTAGGGACAAAGAGATTGATGGCTAAAACTGATGTACTTGACCACCACAGGCAGGGAGCAAGGTGCCAGGAAGAGATGGCCCTTCAGGAAGGGGGACTCAAGGCTAAGTGTAAAGCAACATAACTCCAGCCCCACAGGTCCCGAGGCACTGAAGGTGCCTCCTCATCTCCCTTGACACCTCTCACTTCCAAAGACCTTGTTTTCTAGATGAAATGCTTTCGATGGTTGAAAACACGGTAATTGAAATAATGGGGCAAATTTAAATACTATCTTCATTTAAGGCCAGCCTCCCCAGAGGGGGTGTTGAGAAGAGATTTGGGGAGATGAGATATTTGCTTGGCAGGAGTCCCAGGGAGAGGGACCATTACCAGAAGAGGGGCCTTAGGGTTGTGGAGGGGAAGAGTGCGGGAGGAAGGCTGACCCCAGGTGCTCTAGCAAGTGGATCTCTGCTGGGGGAACATGGAAGTCAGGCACTCTGGGCCCTCTTGGTGACAGAAGGGGCTGTATTCAGAGGAGCTCTCCGAAGGCCAACTGTTGGGCTTGGCAGCCAGCTCCTGACTCTCTCTGGTTGACGGCCGCTTCCGGTGCTTTGCTCCTGCCGCATAGGGAGGAGGAAGTGATAGTACAGGGCTAGCTTTCTCGCCAACAGAAAAGGCAGTTGTACGTGAGGAAGGCAGGAACGTGCAAGGGCGCTGCCCGCTCAGCTGCAGCTGATGCCGAGTGAAGAGGGTCAGGAGAAGCCAGAGGTGTGCCAGCAGCCTCCGGCAAACATAAGGCTGGACACTGGAGCACGGCATGGAGAGACAGCTGAGTTGATAAAGCACTTGTCTCTCTGGGTTCCACCCACAGCATGCATACACACACACACACAAACAAAAAAACCTGTAGTTCAAGCCACAGCACCCACATAAAAGAAGTTGGATACCACAGCACACATCTTTAATTTCAGCCCTGGAGAGGCAGAAATAGAAGGATCCCTGGGGCTCACTGTTCACCCACTCTAGCCAAATCAGTAGGCTGCAGATTCAGCGAGAGACCTTGTCTCAAAATGCATCAGTAAATAAAATTTTAAAATGGAGTAGCTGAAGAAAACACTGGGCGTTGACTTCTGGCTTCCAATATGCACATGTACACACATGGATGTGCACACTCACGCACCAATACACATACATACACCACACCCATGAGTGCACACACACACACACACACAAGAGCCTATACACTATGTGTTAAGATAATTTCCGTGGTTTTTAGATAGCTTAATGACACTGTGATTATACGGGTTGTACATTTTAGAAATCCTTTCTGAAGAATTTGGGAGTGAAATGTCATAGTGTCTGCAATTTACTTTAAAATATTTCAGGAAAAAATTGATGAAGTTAGAAGTACAACATGGTAGAGGTTAGGTCTATGTGACAGAATGGGAGTGTTAATTATACCATTTCTGCCTTTCAATGGGTTTCAGAATGGTCACAATAAGAGGAGAAACCCAGGGTGAGGCTAGGCCCTGTTTGTATTGGGTAGGCGGGAAATGAGGGGTACTTTGTTTGGCCCTGAAGTTGAGAGCAGTGACTGGGGCTCTTGTTGTGGCTCTGACCTTGCACTGAAGGTGTTATGTGACCTTCAAAAAATCACTAGTCTCCATTTTCTTTGCCTATATAAAAGTCAGAGCGTTGTTCTGGGATCTGCCATACTTTGAGGTCCCAAGAGTCACTAAGCAGCCCACCTGAAGATCTGCACATCTTCCAACCCGTGATCTTCCTGAGAGTCTCAGGTGAAGGCACATAGGACCCTGTGAGATGTTCTAAGACTGGCCTTCACCTCACTTGCCCCATGGCCAAATTCAACACGTGGTTACCAAATGCAGGGCAGAATTTTGTAGGTGGTTCGAGCCAACTCCAGCCAGCACTGGTGCTATAGTCTATTTAGTAAGAGTACCAGGGGCACAGAAGACAACTGTTTTTTGTTGTTACTGAGTGAGGTGTTCATAATGGCCTATTTCGATAAGCTTCTTAGTAGTGTGGTTCAAGTCTTCTGTATCCCTGAGGACTTGAAAATGGCCCCGGTGGGGGTCAAGCTTTGCTATGTTTCCTTATGGTTGACTGTGGGTCAGCAGTAGCAGTATGGGTGGTTCATATTCTGGGGAAAGGAGCCCACTCAAGAAGGAAAAGTGTCCTGCAAATGAATATATATCTTTACTGCACCGAGAATTTTTTCATCTTAAACATTTATTATAAAAAATTGGAAATAGAAACACTACACACTGAAAATTAATCAGCCCTACCGTCAGCACCTTTGGGAACTTCCATATAGTTCTTCCATCTGTCCTGAGGCTACCATGCTGAGGGTTTATCATACATGTTAAATTGTATCCACCCTTTTAAAGAGTCAATTGAGATAATCAGATCATTTTTCTGATAATTGAATATTAAACTAACTTTTCATTCCTACAGAAATCACACCAGGTCATGTTGTTTTATACACTCTGAGTATTGTTGTTTTCTTTCTGAGGTAGCTGGGGACCGAACCTAGGGTCTTGTACATGTTACACAAGTTCTCACCTCCTAGTGATCTCCCCAGACTGGTTTTTATTGTTCATTTCCACACAGGGTCTCACTAACTTGCCCAGGCTGGCCTTCAACTTGTCACTTTCCTGCCCTAGCCTTACTGGTTGTTTCGCCACCAGGTCCTGCTCCTTTTTTTGTGTATTGTTCAGTTCAGTTTGGTCATATTTTCAGTGTTTTTGATACACCCTGGTCTGCAGTTTTCTACTCTATTATTTCTACTATATTATGAAATATCCCTTTCTGAAATGGTATTTGGGTAAGTTTGCGGATCAAGAGGAAGTAGAAAGGTTTTCTCTTTAATTTCTGAAAGAATTTAATAGGTCTAATATTTTTTTCCTACTTAATTTTTAAAAACAGAATTTTCCAGGGAAACTGTAGTAACCAAGTAAGAAGACTTACAGCTACAGGCTTAATAGATGTATTGTTATTCATGCTTTCTATTTCTTCTCAAATGAGTTTTGGAAGTCTGTGTCTTTCAGGAAATTGGTAGATTTGTACATGTCATCTGAGTTGTTGAACTTGCTTAAAATCTCTTATGCAATTTTATTATTAGTGTTTCATTACTTAAGGTCCCTGGTATGTGATGTCCCTCTCTTGATCCTTGCTATTGGTAAACTGTGGTTTCCTCTGCTCCTGGGTCAGTCTGGCCAGATGCTCACTGCTCACCAGTTAGTATTATAGTTGGACTGTGTGTTCCCTTCCTTCCAGTTTCCTTGGGTTTAGTTTGCATTTCCCCTCTTTCCTCAAGTGGAGATGTAAATGACTGATTTGGGCACTTTCTAATTCAGAGTCATGATCACTCATGACTACTTGTATTAGAAACTTTTCTATTCTGTGGTAAAACACCAAGACCAAGGCAACTTATAGGAGAAAGGATTTATTTGGGCTTACATTTCCAGAGGGATAAGAGTCGGTAATAATGGAATGGCAGCTGGAACAGCAGCTGAGAGCTTACATCTTGAACCACAAGCAGGAAGCAGAGAGAGAGAGAGAGAGAGAGAGAGAGAGAGAGAGAGAGAGAGAGAGAGAGAGAGAGGAGAGAAAACTAGAAACAGCAGCAAGTCTTTAGATTCTCAAAGCCTGGCCACAGGGACATACTTCCTACAGTAAGGCTGTATCTCCTAACCTACACAAACAGTGTAACCAACTGGGAATCAAGAATTCAAATGCCAGAGATTGTAAGAGACATTGATCATTAAAACCACCACACTACTTATTATTATTTATTACTACAGTTTTGCTGGAGTTCCAGAAATGACATATGTTGTATTTTTATTTTCACGGACTTCAACATATTTAAAGATTTCCTTTGTAATTCATCCTTTGACTTATGAATTATTTAGACTTGTTATTTGTTCTCTAAGACTTTTATGTACACACCTTACTATTATTTATTTAAAAATCAGTCGCCAGAGAACATACACAGGATGACATGATTCTTTTAAGTGTTTTAGTACCTTTTGTGTGTCAGGTATCACGTGTGAGGCACCAGAGTCTTCAGTGACGTTCAGGTAAGCTGGTTCTCTGAGAAAAATTGCCTGGCTTGTAACACCAGCCAGTCCTTATGGTACAAATACCTCCATCACGGCCAAACCGAACACAGTGCTGCTGGATGCAATGTTAGAAAAATCAGGTGCACAAGTTTGTGAGCTAGTGTGAGCCAGCTCCAGCCAATACTGAGAATACGGATTTTTGAGTTAGACTAGGAGGCACACTGGAGGCACACTGTAAAATGATGGGTGCTTTGATGTTGTTGGTTAGAGTGTCTGTTTGGGTGAACGTCTTGATGGTGTTCTTCAAGTCCTCTGTGTCCTTAGAAAGACTTTTGATCCAGGTATTTGACCAATGAAAGAATAGCACTGAGGTCGCCAACACAGCCTTGCATTTCTCTCTCTCTTCCAGTTCTATCAGAATTTTCTTGCATATTCTGTCTGACGATTCATAAACACTTATACACATTTTGTCTTCCTGATGAACTGACCCTTTTCTCAGTGTGTTGTATCCTTTGTGTGTATGTGTGAAATTCTATTTAACTTGATGTGAATATAATCAATAGAATTATATGTAAATATAACTAGTGTTTGTATAGTATATTTTATTTCATCTGATCTAGTTTCATTTCTGTCTCTATGATAAAATACTATTGTTTTTTAATAAGTCTTTATCTTTCTTTTTTATCAGTAAAGACCCAGGAGCCAGAAGCTGGGGTGAAAACCTGCTAGCTCAGAGAGGCAGCTGCTTCGTCCTTTGCCATCATCCCAGAAAGAGGTCTCTCCTACCATCTCAAACAGAAGAAATTCCTCCAAGTGGATATCCCTCCCTTCTAATTCCTGTGTGTCTCTCTATCCATCCTCCTGACTCCCCCTTATTCTCTATTGTTTTTACTTCCTGTCAACTTGTTGCTTGCTCTTCCATTTGACCTATGGTTGATTTTATTTAATCCTATTTATAATACTCAAGCAGAAAGCTCTTGGATTAAAGGTGTGTGCTAGGGCTGAGCCATACCACAGCTAGAAGCAGGTATTTCCAGTAAATAATGCAATCTAAGGGTTCACCATGTAGTCAAATATCCTGCAACAAAATACCCTGATAAAAAGCATCTTAGGAGACAAAAAAGATTGTTTTAGCTTACAATTCCAGATTACAGTTCATCACTGCAGGGAAGTCAATGTAGGAACCTGAAGTAGTTAGTCACATTCACGGTCAAGAGCAGAGAAAAATGAATGTATGCATGCTTACCTATGTTCAGTTTACTCTCTACAGTAAGCAGTCCAGGATCCCCTGCCTGGGGAATGGTGTCACTCACAGTGGTCTGCGTCTTCACACATCAATTAATATGTAATCAAGAAGTCCCCCATAAATATGTCCACCGGCCAACCTTATTTAGACAGCTGAGAATCATTGAGATTCTTTCCCTATGTGATTCTAGATTGTGTCAAATTGGAAATTAAAACTACTACATCAACTTTTACTTTGAGCTTATCTGTTTTTATATTTAAAATAAATATTTTGTGACAGGTGTGGTTGCTCACACCTGTATTCCCAGGACCTGGGAGGTTGAGATAAGAAGATTGCTAACAATTTGAGGCTGGTATGTGCTACAAAGTAAGTTTTTCTTAAAAAAAAAAAAGTATATATTTTATACATAGCATATAACTGGGTCTTACTTTTTGATATTTTAAATTTAATATTTAAACAATTTGTATTTAATTGTCTGTGGGTTGAGTTCAAACATACTATTTTGCTACTCATTTTCAATTTTTATCTATTCTTTGTTCTATTTTTATTTCCTTATTAAATATTAATTGCGTATTTTTAGGATTCTGTTCCACGTTCTGTGTAAGCTTATTAATTATGCCTTTGTGTTTTCTGCTTTTAGGTATTGCTTCAGGATTTGTAACATATGCGTATTTACTTTCTCCCAGTCTCCTTCCCACTAATCTTACGCTAGTTTCTATATGATGTAAAATTTTACAAGAATACAATTCCTTTTCCCTTCTTGTCCTTTATGCCATTATTGTTACATATGCTCTCTCTCTCTATTTCTACACACACACACACACACACACACACACACACACACACACACACACACACTACTCTTTAAAAAAAACAAAAATTAAAATACTCAAAGTTTAAAAAGCTCTATCTGCAAATTTGGACCTTCTGGTTCCCTTCATTCATCTCGCTAGCCTTGATTTCCATCTGATATTTCCCTTCAGCCAAAAGGGTGCTATTTCACCATTAATACAATGCAAATTTCCTAGTGATAATGGATTTTCCACACTTTATCAGTTGCATTTTTTTGCCTCTGTTTTTGAAGGGTATTTTCACTGGCTATAAAGTTCCAGGTTGGCAGGCTTCCAGCTTTCTTTACACGTTAGTGATACTGTTCCATTGTCGTCTGGCTTGTATAGTTTGAGCTGAATAGTCAGAACTGTGCTTTTCTTCAGTTATGCCCCCTGTGTGTGTGTGTGACAGGAATCTTTTATACACTTGAAGGGCGCTTCAGAGTAACCACTGATTTTCATAGACGTGATTAGGAAATCCATGGATGCGATTTTTCACTTTGTTACCCTGTTTTGAGGTATGTTGTCCTTTTAAATATGTCAACGTGATTTTTTAGAAATCTAGAAAATTCACACAGCTATTACTTCTTCATGTCATTCTTATGTGACACTATGATATAACAGCACATTTATATCTTAGTTTCATTTATGGATCCTGAAGCCCTTGTCATTTCCTAAATGGCTAGAGCAATAGGATTGTTTCTTGTTTCAAAATAAAACTTGGACTTCTCCCTCAGTTCCCGAAAGAGCTTCAGAGGGGTAAAGGCTAAGGACACATCTTTCATGATTCATAACAAGCTCCAACCATGGCTGAATTTATATGAGTGAGATTCATTTTTTGAAAGCCCTTAGATAACCACAGAATGAAGGCTGTTTGAGCCTATCACGCGATTAGAGGATCAGAACTTACAGCTCTGTACACTGACCTCCAGGAGGAGATGAAGCCACTGGTTGAGCTAATGATGTAATCATTCATGCTTACAGGGTTTAGGAAACCTCTAGTTGAGTATTGTGTTGGTTTGATTTTGTGTTAGTTACCTTGTTACTGTGACAAAAACAAAAAACAAAACAAAACAACAACAAAATCAAAGCAGCTTAAGAAAGGAAATGTTTATTTGGGCTCACAGCTGCTCACAGTTTAAGGATACAAGCCATCATGATAGAAGAGGCATAGTGACAGGAGGTTGAGGAAGCTGTCACATTGCGTCTTCATTCAGGAAGCAGAGAGATGAATGCTGGTGCTCAGCTCACATTCTTCTTTTACTTTAACCCAATGCCCAAGCCAATGAGATGATGCTACTCATACCATGATGGCTCTTTCAACTTCAGTTAGATATCCCTGGGAACGCCCTCACAGACATGCCCAAGGTCTATGCCATGGGTGATCCTAGATCCTGTCATGTTGATAATCAAGGTTAACCATCACAGGTATGAAATAGTTGGTGGGTTTATGATTGGATCATAAGATCCTAACTTCATTCATGGATTAATCCATTGTTAACGTTTGTACTAAATGGACTATTAGGAGGTGGAGCATGGTTGGAATAAGAAAGTAATTAGGGATATATGTCTGATGGAATGTCTTGCTTTGCCTCCCCTTTTTTCTTTTCTCTCCCTCTTTCTATTCTTCTTGGCTGCATGAGGTGACCATCTCTGCTGTCCCACACTTTCTCCGCCACAGCCCAGTCCCACAGTGCCAAGACAACTAAGTGACCATGGACTGGAACCTCTGGCACTGTGAACCCGAATAAACCTTGTCTTTCTTCAAGTAGTTTATGTCAAATATTTCATCACAGTGACAAAATCTGACTAAGACACTGGCACTTGTGACTGACCTGGGAGAGCAGTGCTGTGGACCAGGGGCTCTCCACCGGTGGGACTATGACGCTACCTCCAGGTAGATGGTATCAGAATTAAACCATAAGACTCTCAGCTGGAGATTGGCTGTTGGTGAAGAGTAATCTCTTGTCTGGGCAAAGAAATGTTCTGTGTTGTGTACGAGAGTGTGTGTGTCAGGGGGAAACAGCTTCCTTTTTCCTCCAGAATAAAGGCCCATTGGATGTTTTTCTACATGTCACTGGGGCTCTTTTAATTGATTGTCTTTAAAAAAACTTCTACTTCTATTTGAATAGTCTCTCTGTTCAATCTTGCCTGTTTTCTTTGGGAAGTGTCTAATCTGCTTTTAAGCTTGTCTAGGACATTTTTCATTTTATGTGTTGTAATTCTGGGCTCTAGAAGCTCCATGCCACCCACCTCCCCCAGTCTTTTCTCTCTTTGGGATGCTTATAGTTTCCTCAGACCTTGAAAATATTTATAACAATTGTTTTAAAACCCTTTTATGCCAATTCCATCCCCTTCTGTGGTTTCTGAATTTGCCTCTCTAGGTTTGTTTGATTGAAATGCCTTGGGTTACATTTTCCTGTTTCTTTAATTTTTTTTTTTGCATATTTTGATACCTTTCCTTGGGTGCCAGGCATCGAGTGTGGTGTGGCTGAGTGTCTGGGCTTGGTTTTCCTTCACAGACTGCACTGTGCTGTGTGCTGACAACCAACTGGTTTACCCTCAAGTGGCATCTTGCTTTTGAATCTGTGTTTTACATTTTTTTGGCTCTGAAGTAGATTTTGCCCTTCCATGGCTTAGTTCTGCTACTGTGGGGCCTCCCAGAATGTCCACAAGGACCCACAAGGGCTAGCGACTCTTTCAGTTGGAAAGTGGCAAATACCTCTCAATGCTGCTGAGCACCAACCAGTGTTGGTTCAACTTCAGGTTCTCTGGCAGCTTACTATCTCTGGAAGTCATTCTCTCCGTGGTATGACAGGACATTCCGTTAATGGAATACCTCCCCACACATGAGCAGCTCCAGGTTTAAAGACAGACTGAGGGTCCTGATGCGGGCTTTAGGACCTTTTCCTCAACACAGCTTCTTTCTCTTCTGTCCTCTGTCGCAAACATTCTAGTAGATCTCTCCTTCTACCGTGTGGGTTCTAGAGGTTGAACGCGAGTCACTGGGCTTGGTAGCAAGTACCTTTGCCCGCCGAACCATTTCATCAGCCAGGCAAAGAAAAATTAGGATCACAGGTGAAATAAGTCAGCCAACTTTATGAAGAGAGGCTCTCCCTGATGGCCCAGGAAAAGTCCTAGAAATTATCTTTAGTGGAGGAGAGAAATAATCGAGAACAGAGGAGAGAAATAGTCGAGAAAATTGCAGATGTGGCAGTGCGAGAGGAATGTGGTTGGATTTCACTGGCTGAGGGGATAGAAAGGGGGAAATATGATCCAATCAAAACAGAATCTGGGACAGGCAAGGAAATAGATTCTTCTCTAGCTTCTGGAAGAAATACAGCTCTGCTGTCATGCTTCATTTCAGCCCTCCTCGACTCACTGTAGACAGCTAACCTCCAATCTGTACAATACCACACTCATGTCTAAGTGTGGCAGTAGTAGGAAGCCAAACCAGGTTAGATAGCTGATCCAGTTCCAGCTAATGTCATGACTGGAAGGAGACAACCATCAGTGTGCTTTTGAAGACAATTCAATACTTCAGATGCCATTGATCAAAGCCGAGGCCCTGGGAATTTAGAACATTTCCTAGGTATTCTAATGTGCACTCAAGGCTGAAAACCACTGACCTCATCCCATCCTTCTAATTTACGGCTGAGGGGCTTGGGGCATAGCTCAATGATAGGGTGCTTTTCTAGTATGTGCAAGGTCCTGGGTTCAACCCCCAGCACAAAGAAAGAAAGAAAGAAAAGGAAGGAAGAGAGGAAGGAAGGAAGGAAGGAAGGAAGGAAGGAAGGCAGGCAGATAGACAGATAGATAGAAAGAAAGAAAGAAAGAAAGAAAGAAAGAAAGAAAGAAAGAAAGAAAGAAAGAAAGAAAGAAAGAAAGAGGAAGGAAAGGAGGGAGGAAGGGAGGGAGGGAGGAATGAAGGAAGGAAAAGAGAAATAAAGAGCAAGCTTCTAAACCATTTTGCAGTCATCAGGGTGAAGGATGGTAGAGGTAAATGCAGGTAAGTTGGTGCATTTCAAGCCTGGCAAAACTAGGGCTTCAGTGTGTGTGTTTTTCCTTAAGGGGCCCTCTTGGCACCCAGCTGTTTGCAGATGTGGCAGGTCTGCAGAGGACTGGGATGCAAGCTGCACAGCCTTGGAACACAGGAGCTAAAGCCAGCCATTAGCTACGCCAAACAGATCCCTGCATTCCCCACATGGCTTCAATCAGCCATATTGCCCAGAAGTGCCACTTTATTGACCAGGGTGAAGCATTGATTGGTTTTGATCATGGTGATGGGAATTCTGATAGCTCACAGACCTCAGCACTCCTGAGAACCCCCAGGGAACACCCTGCCAATGCCCATATCAACTCACCTCTGGTTTACCAAGGCTGGCTCCTTGCTGGATTTCAACCAGTTCAGTCACTTTTTAAAGTAGTGCTTTCCCAGGATCAGCAAACTTTGCCCAAGTTTTGATATCAGCAGCATTCTGGGATGCATCAATTTACGCCGAAAATTTCAGGCATTTGGGGCTTTTTTGGTTAGAAACTCTTTGAAGATG